TCCCTTTCCTTCTTTCTTTCTTTCTTTCTTTCTTTCTTTCTTTCTTTCTTTCTTTCTTTCTTTCTTCTTTCTTTTTTTTGCTTTTTGGGTCACAACCCGGCAATGCACAGGGGCCACTCCTGGCTCTGCACTCAGGAATCACTCCTGGTGGTGCTCAGGCGACTATATGGGATGCTGGGAATTGAACCCTGGTCAGCAGAGTGCAAGGCAAACGCCCTAACCGCTGTGCTATCGCTCCAGCTCCCTCTTTCTTTCTTTTAAAAATTATTTTATTGAATCACCCTGAGATACAGTTACAAAGCTTTCATGTTTGAGTTTCAGTCATACAATGATCAAACACCCATCCCTCCACTAGTGCACATTTATTACCACCAATGTCCCTAATATATCCCCCTGCCTACATCCACCCCTCCCCCTGCCTCCCTCCCCCTGCCTCCATTTGAAATTTCCCCCATACTCTCTACTTTTGGGCATTATGGTTTGAAATACAGATATGAGAGGCCATCACATTGGGTCCTTTATCTTCTTTCAGCACACATCTCCCATCTGGAACTATCCCTCCAACCATCATTGACTTAGTGATCTCTTCTCTATTCCATCTGCCTTCCCCCCAGCTCGTGAGACAGGCTGCCAACCTTCCTGGCTACTTGGGCCCTTTTCAATTCTGGCTTCAGATCAATCATGCTCAGATCGTGCACAGGGAAAAAGGGGTCAAACCAATTGGCATAGCCTTGAATTTGACCCATGGGCTTCATTAATTGCTTCCTGCATCTCACCAAACATTTCTAAGAATACTATAATGATACAATAACAGACAGTCTGGTTCTGGTGGATGAATAGACACATAGGTCATAATATCATGATTGGAGCTAGAAACTGACCCACAAAAATATACTTAACTAATTTTTCACATGGGTGTGGTGGTGATTCCATGAAAGGATAGTTTTTTTCAACAAATGGTGCTGGATCGATTGGATATTTACAAACAAAACAAATAAACACTGACATATGCTTCATATTTCATAAAATATAAACTTACTTGGGAGAGTCAGAGAGATTGTAAAAGGGTTAAGCACTCACCTTGCATGTGGCTGACCCCAGTCCAATCCCAAGCATCACATAAGATTCCCAGAGCACTGTTGAATGACTCCTGAGTAGAGAGTCAAGAGTAAGCTCTGAGTAAGTCTGGGTATAGCCCCCTATAAAATAAGAACAAAACTAGAACAGCCTCAAATATATTAGAAATCTAAGTATAACCATACAATTCAAACCTTGGAGGAAAATAAAGGGAAAACATTGTGTGATTTTTGGTTTGGCAGTATGCTTTTAGGTAAAACAAAAAGAGCAATCCATAAATGAAGACTTTGGTAAATTGAACTGCTAACATTAAAAACCTTTAACTCTAGAAGAGATACTATCCCTGATGTAGACAACTTCATTTATAATAGTTTCAATACTGATGTTTTGGGAATACAATGCCACTGCACCACACCCACAGCCAGACTGCCAGCACTTCTACCTGACCTAGATTTTTTTCTGTGGGTGAGGTACAGTGGCATTGTATTCTTAAAGCGTCAGTATTAAAGACTTGTAAATGAAGTTGTCTACATCAGGATTAGTATCTCTTCTAGAGTCAAAGGTTTTAATGTTAGTAGTCCAATTTATCAAGGTCTTCATTTATGGATTGCTCCTTTAGTTATATCTAAAGTTGGTGGGCCCCCACGGGTGGCTTATGTGAGGCAGAGAGGAGAGAGACGGTCACTTTCTCTAGATCCACCTCAGCTACACTGAGACTGGCTGGGAAGGCTAGGACTGGTAAAATCTGTGGATGATCCCCTGCATAGCATGAGCCAGAGCCCCACCCAACTCCACCCGGTGGCCATCAAGTCACACCTGACATCCACTTGGTCTTCACGGGATCCCCACAACCTGATTTCTCAGGGAACCACAGACTCAGGCTGGAGTGAGCAATTGCTCTTTGCAGGAAAGAAAAGTTAGTCCCTAGGCCTTATCCAGGGTTTCCAGGCACTTTGTCCTGTCTTTTAGAAAAGAATTTTAGGAGTAGACAAGCAGTGAAGCAAAAGTAGATTTATTTGGAGACTTTTAGGAGGAAGAGGGAGGGAAAGAAAAAGAAGAGAGTAACATGCTCAAGGGAGAATGTTGGCTTCTTCAGAGATGAAGAGAGCCCCAGTACACATCTCAAGAGGGGAGATACGGGCAACACCTATGCTCGGGCACCACATGGGCTCAGCCCATGGGCACAAACAGCACATGGGCTCAGGCAACATATACATACCCTTCCTTTGTTCAAGGTGGCTTTTACAGGGTTTCTCCTACCTGCCCCCATGTGGGGCTTCTACCTAGGTAAAAGTTTGTTGCTAGGGTGGTTACAAGGGGAACTAGAGTTGGGAGTGGTCAGTGGTTCTTCTTTGAAACTCTCTTTGTTGGCCTTTTTTTCTGCTGGAGCTTGTCTCAGAGGAGGGTCCAGTCTTCTCTGGATCTGTTACTGGCTCCAGGTGAGGGTCTTAGTTCCTGTGCTCATGGGAAGTGAACTTCTTGCAGCTCCAGGGCTATTTGTTTTATTATTTCCCAGGAATTCCATTGCCATAGACCCTTCCCGTCTAACCGCTTACATCACCCCACCCCTACTCCCTGCCACCCTACACTTACCTCGCAGACTCTCAGGGTCTGTTATGGTTGGCTATTGTTTACTCCCCTACTATGTTAGAAAAAACACTAAGAAAAGAATAGAAATACAAGCTAAGCCCTTGGAGAATATATTTGAAAATAAAATATCTGAGCAGGGACTTGTATTTCCACATACATGAAAATTCTTAAAACTCAGCAATATGAAAACAAACAATCCAAATTAGGATTAGGCAGAAGATCTGAAATGACACTTGACCAAAGATATCTTTGCATTAAGGATATGAAAAGATATTTAATATTATTAGTCACTAGGGAAATGCAAATCAAAATAACAATGATATAACACACCCGTTAACATGGTTGACTTCTCCCAAGTTGGCAGCCAATGCTGTGAGCAACCTTCACTTCTGACGGGAACCCAAAACCATTTGAAAACCTATGAAGATAGTTTCATATAAAGTTTGTATGACAAAACTCAACAATCAACTTCTAAATATTTGTTCAAATAAATTTAAATCTTCTGTTTACACAAAAACTTGTATGCAAATGTTTGAAGTATCTTTGTTCATAATCACCCCAAACTGAAAACAACCACGCTGTAGTTCAACAGGAAAATGGATAAAAAATAGGTAATACCTTCCTACTTCTCTGGATTGTACCCTCCCCAGTACCCTCTGGAAATCGCCTTCTTTAGGCAAACTGACAGAAAGTTCCTCCTAATTGCCCTGACGCTCCAAGTGTCCTACACCTCCAGTACCCCTGGGGATAGTAACCTCTGATTTAGGAAACATCCAATTAGGCAGAGTATTATTTATTATTATTATTATTATTATTATTATTATTTTTGCCACACCTGGCGATGCACAGGGGTTCTCCTGGCTTTGCATTCAGGAATTACTCCTGGTGGTGCCCAGGGGACCATATGGGATGCTGGGAATCGAACCTGGGTCTGCTGTGTGCAAGGCAAATGCCCTACCTGCTGTAATATTGCTCCAGCCCCATAGGCAGAGTATTCTTACATACTGCCAAGAGCACGAGTGACAAAAGGAAAAGAGAGATCAATTGACTTCATTAAAATTGAACCTTTTGGGGAAAAATTCCAATAACCCTTTTAGTGTGCACCAGCTGGAACCTGAGAGGAGGGGAGGGCATTTGTCTTGCAAGCGGTCAACATGGCCGACCCGAGTTTGATTTCTCCACCTCTCTCAGAGAGCTTGGCAAGCTACTGAGAGTATCTCGCCCGCAGGGCAAAACCTGGCAAGCTCCCTGTGACGTATTCGATATGCCAAGCACAGTAACAATTGTCACAATGGAGATGTTTCTGGGCCCACTTGAGCAAATCCATGAACAATGGGAGGACAGTAACAGTGACAGTGACTTCACCTACCACCACCACTCATATCCCCATGCCTTTCCTAGGATTTCTCTCCAAAGGCAGCTTCCTGCAGTACCGGCCGTGGCTGGGGTCACAGACCGTGGTGCCATCAGGGCTGTGTCATGAGGAGATTGCTGGAGGTCAAGTTCTCCCCAAAGTAAATCTTTAAAACAAATCAAGGAAAAGCCCCAATACGATGTTTTAAAGATTTTCACAAAATGATTCTGAAGAATAATTTCCCCTTATTTTGAAATTTTAATTTAGTTTATTTTAGGGCCACACTGAGCAGTGTATTATATTCAGAGATCACTCCTGGCAGGACTCTACAACACATATGGGCTTACGGACCCAAGGCAAAAGCCTTTCCTGATGTATTGTCTCTCTGGCCGCCCTCTGTACTATTTAGATCAAAAACATAACTTTCATAATTAAGAGATGAACTTTTCCAAAGCTGGTCAACTCCTTTTCTTTCCTTCAACTCCTTCTTCCACTAAACTTGCAGATGATTTAATAAAACAGAAGAGTCTGAGGGTGCTGTTTCCTCTCTAGCCCTGTGAGTTTGATGAGTGCAGGGTGGTGAAGCTCAGAGAAATGCACTCGGACTAAGAAGCTTGCACAGGGCTAATGTCACCAAGCAGGAATCCTGCCCAAAACAGAAATGGGCAATTTAACAGGAATCCTCCAATCAGTGTCAAAAGGAAGACAAGCCTGCCTGGCTCTGACACATGTGTGGAACTTCCCTGGTGCTGTGTTTACAGGAATCGGTGACAGGTGGCAGAGACCTGAGTGTTGTCAGAGCCCGGGCACCACCAGGAGAGTGCTTGAATGGAACTTCTAAGAGGCAACTGATTCAGAAATAAGCCTTTGAAATGATGAGAAACATGGGCTAATAATAAACTAGGAACTTAGGCCACCGAAGAAAGGGTGTCATTGGTTGGCTGGCCACCCTCCTCTTGAGCACAGCTTATAAAAGTTCACCTTCCCACAGTGCATGACTCTGCAGCACCATGGCCACCCTGGGCATCACTGTTGCCCTGCTGGTATGGATAGCCACCCTGCTGCTCATCCACATATGGAAGCAGATCTACAGTAGCTGGAAACTGCCCCCTGGCCCTTTCCCACTGCCCATCATAGGGAACCTTTTACAGCTGGACCTCAAGAATATCCCCAAATCCCTCACCCAGGTAAGAGAAATATTGCTGATTATAGAGAGAGGAGTTCAGGAATTAGTTGTGATATGTGTACTACCAACTCAATGTCAGATAAATTCTTCAACACCAGAAGCCTTTCATGTACTGGCTGGGTTAATGTCAGGGTCTTGGGTGACAATCCAAATATTATGCTTTCTTCCGCAGGAAATGTGGAGCTGGAGTTGCAACCCTGGCCACAACCTCTGGGCGCCTCATCTCTGGGTGGGCTGAAGGAGGCCACTCCCAGGTCTCTTGATGTTACCACACAGCAGTGCAAGGACAGCTGGGAGATCTCTGTGCTGATTCCCAAGAACAGGGTGGATAGCGTGTGAGCCATTGCTGGCCTCTCTCCTCCAGTTGTGACTGGGGAATGAGCTCAAAAGATGAAATTTAGTGAGTTAATGAACATATCCTTGGACTAGCAGGCTGGAAAGTGAACTAAGGGGGTACGGACAGATATTGTGGGGGGGCCACTGTTACGTTGTCCAAGTCTGGGCCTTGACCAGGACCAAAGCAAAAACAGGTGGACGATACGGTGGGCCTGGACAAAAGGGTATCATGGAGGGCATAAGTTGGCCCCTGGCATTGATGGTGTGTGTGTGTGTGTGTGTGTGTGTGTGTGTGTAGTGGTTTAGGGTCTGGGAGTCAGAGGATCCGAGGCGTGTGGCCAGGACTGCAGCTCCAGCTCCATACTTTCTGCAGAAGAAAGCATCTGTGGGGAGAGTCTTCTCCACATCATGCTGGGCTCTCTTGGGTCAGTGTAAGGAGCATTCTGAGGCTTCATCCATGGCTCTTTGGTTACTACAGCTTGCACAGCAATATGGGCCCGTGTTCACCGTGTACCTGGGCCCCCGTCGTGTGGTGATCCTGCATGGCTATAAGGCTGTGAGGGAAGTTCTGCTCAACTACAAGAATGAATTTTCTGGAAGAGCAGAGTTGTTTGCCTTCGAGGCGCACAAGGACAGAGGTGAGCACCTTGCAGAGGGTGGGCTTGACCCCGGCACACAGAGCACTGGGATGGTGGGCTTGGTCATGGGACTGAACATGGAGGGCTGAGACTTTCAGACAGTACCAGTAAAGGGTGGGCATCTAGCACACGGCCCCTGCATTCACAGCATACTTGGATGAAACGACTTACACGTGAAGACCCTGTGGATCCCAGGAACAAGCAAGCAGCCAGTGCTCACAGCAGTGCAGACATGTTGGCAGAAGCGCCAGAGGGGCACTTTCCTCCCACAGCCAGACTCTTCAGCTCTCACTGGAGTCTGTTCCTCTCAAACCCCTTGGCTCCAAGCTATTATTTTCCTCTACATTGCGATACCCCAGTTCTTGGGCACTGAAAGTGATGATATTTGCTGTCTGCAGGGCTCTGCTTGGCTGCATACAGTTCTAGCCCAGTGCTTGGAGGGGCCTCTGAGGCTTCCCCTGGGCTGTTCTTGAAACAGGAGGTATTTCTGAGTGCATCTCCGACTCAGGCTCAATTTCCACCTGGTCCTGACCCTCCAGTCTCGCCTCCCTTTCTTCAGCACTCCAAAGCTCTGAGTTCAGCTGATCCAGAAAAACACTTGTCACCTTTTCAGGAAGGGCTGTAGTAGGGTCTGAGATTCTAGCTTTTCTTACACTACTGGAGTGACCCTAGACTCCTAGCCTTAGTTTGGCCCCTCATGACTCGGGACCCAATCCTTGCAAGTGCCTCCCTCAGGGTAGACTTGAAACCATTCCTCCCCCAACCCCAACCCCCGTTCCCTGCCCCCTCATCCTGCTATCTCCTCTGCCTCTCTCAGACCTGACAGATCTTTTCCTGGAATGTCCCACGGTCCTTTCGCATCTGATGGGCCCTCTGGCCAGAGCTACATGACCCACGTCAGTGAAGTCATAGACTGAGCATTGAGGCCTTTGTGGCAAGAGGGTAAAACCTCAGCAAGAACAAAGTGGCTTCTCAGGGCACCCATCAGACAGGAGTGGGTGGTAGTCTTTCCTGAGGCTGGCTCAATGTAGCTTTTGAATGAACAAGGGAGGAAAGGGAATCGCTGTGTGGAGGCTACTCCACCCACCTCAGAAGAAAACCAGAAGGAGGCGTCAAATCCAAACTGCCCCCACTCTCCCTGTTGGTGGTGCTGGGACCCCCTTCTCTGTCCCGGCAACTCAGATGCATCTTGGGGTTCTGAGCCCCTTTCTAGGAGCACTTCTCACTCTACCTTTCTCCTCTGCTCTTCCCCCTTTAGGAGTCATCTTCAATAATGGGCCCACCTGGAAGGACACCCGGCGATTCGCCCTGACCACCCTCCGTGACTACGGGATGGGGAAGCAGGGCAACGAGGAGCGAATCCAGAGGGAGATGCCCTTTCTGCTGGAGGCACTCCGTGAGACCCAGGGTGTGTGTGACAGCTGGAGCACAGGTTCTGGTGCAGACAGCTGACTCCAGCCAGCCCGAGCATCCCAGGCATTGTGTCACGCCTGGGCTGCCTTACAACCACAGGGAGGGTGCTCTTGCTCGTGCTCAATAACTGAGCAGGAAGGAAACCCAAAGAGGCGCACCTTCCTCTGTGTCCTCTGGGAGTCCCCCTCCGGCTTTGCAGCTGTCACAGGCTCCGCTACGGAAGGCTGTGGGAGCCCCGTGAGCTCCTCACACACCCCATGTGAATGCTCATCTATTTTTCAGGTCAGCCCTTTGACCCCACCTTTCTCATTGGCTGTGCACCCTGCAATGTCATAGCTGACATCCTCTTCCGCAAGCATTTTGACTATGACGATAAGACCAGCCTGAGGCTGATGGCCTTGTTTAATGAGAACTTTTACCTGCTCAGTACACCTTGGCTCCAGGTGAGGCCCCCTGCCTCTTTCCCTACTGACCTCCTTGTTTCCCTTTGCATCAAGGCAGTGCAGGGTGGCAGAGCAGGAAGCAGGAAGCATCAAGGGGACTGGGGTGACCAGCAGCATGTTTGACTGGAGCTCCTGTACATCCCAATGCCTGTGTACACAGATCCATCCTCCCCTAGCCAGCACCTACTCTTTACCTTTCACAATTGGCAACCTTTGACATGTGATACCTATGCTGTGTGTTCACCTACCACAGAGCACTTAACACCTATCAGAGTGGGACCCAACAAGATCGTGTAGGCCAAAGAGTAGCATGGGGCTGGTGCAATAGTACAGCGGATAAGGAACCTGTCTTGAACACAGCCGACCTGGGTTTGATCTCTGGCATCCCATATGTCCCCTGATGCCCCATATGGTCCTCTGAGCCCACTAGGTACCCCCAAATCAAAATCAACCAAACCAAACAAACCCCAAAACAAAAATACCAAGAATTCCAGCAGTACAATAGTGTGTGGGAGAAGCTATTAGTCCAAAACACAAAATGGTGCTGCAATCAATATAGACAATAAATGTAGATATAGATATACACTAAGATGATGTCCCTCAACCCTCTCTCTAGATTTATAATAATGTTTCAAGCCTTCTACGCTATCTACCTGGAACTCATAGAAAAGTCATACGAAATGTGTCTGAAATAAAAGACTATGCACTGGAAAGAGTGAAGGAGCACCTCAAGTCACTGGACCCCAACTGCCCCCGAGACTTCACAGACTGTCTGCTCACAGAAATGAAGAAGGTACCTTGCACATTGCTGGGTTCTTGAGATGAGGCAAAGCTGAGGGCTTGGTAGCTGTGATGTGTGTTAGCCCAGGGAAGGCCATGCAGGGTCAGTTTTTTCCATGATCTGAAAAGCTATTGCCTAGATGCCCACAGTGGGTAGAGATATTTGCAAGATCTGAGTTTTAACTTCAGCGTGGCTCCATGTTCTCCTGCCTCCTGTGGCAGACAGCTAGCTTGCACAATAGTCTGAAACCCTTTCACTGTCCACCACACCAGCCACCAAGATGGTCTTTCTTGGGGAAGCAGTCAGACTTCAGCTTCCCCAGACTTGGGGGTTGAGTGGGAACCTCTCGTCAGCTTCTCCTGGCCTACACTTCTTAATGAGAATGTCACCTGTGAGGGGCCTCAGTGTTCCTGATTAGCATCTATGTCCCAAATTGTGTGCAACTTCAAGGGGTTACAGACATACAGTCCCTCAGAATCTCTTGCCTACGTTGATGACACTGTTGCTCTTCCCTTTGGTGTCACCTATGGCTCGGGGGGGGGGGGGGGGGGAGTGTGCACTCACACCCAGCTTCTCTCTATCAGATGCGCTCCTCAGGGTCTCTCCTTGGCACCGAGCATCCCAATGAATTTCCTGTGTTTGAAAGCAGTAACCAAGCGCAGTGTTAGTACAGCTGCCGGGGATCACAGTACATTAATATGGAGAAGATCTTTCCTTTAGCATAGCCCCTAATGCTGCTGGTGGAACAGAGTTCACACTTGGTGAGGCCCATTCTGCCTGGGGCCACTGTTTTGGAAATCTTGACTTTGCTTGATGATTGTGTTCCTATGTGATAACTCTGCCCACACCTGCCTCACTTGCCTGTGGAGCTGGCAGTTTGCTGAGAGAGATGAGAGTCCCAAGGAACAATCCCTTCTTGAATCTGTCTGTCTCTAATGTGCAGGTAAAACACAGTGAAGAGCCTGGGGACATCTTGGACAGCGTTGCTGTGACTGTGGCTGACCTGTTCTTTGCGGGGACAGAGACTACCAGCACCACTCTGAGATATGGGCTCCTGATTCTCATGAAATACCCAGAGATTGAAGGTACACTGAAACAGCCAGAGAGTCCTGTGCTGTGTGTCTGTCCACCTGGGTAGTCAGTCTGGGCCATTAAGGTTAAACTCTCCTTCTGCAAGATAGAAACAGGCCCTGGTATTAACCCTTATGCGTGGCATCTGCACTCTGTTCCACAGAGTAATTAATTTTTTTTACATGAAAATTCTTGCCCATATGCCCTGAACAAGTTCTCTTTTTAAAGGCAGTGCAAAGAGGGAGGGGCAAGGGTTAGACTCTCCTAGGACATTATATCTGAATAAAATAAAGTTCAGAAACATTCCAGGGTGCACTTCCCTGAAATTTTTTTGCTGCTTCTTATAGGCTACTCCCTAGATCAGGTAAGTGTCCTGGAAGAGGGTAAATCATGGCTTCTGAACCTGTATCTGCAGAGGCTGTGAATCCAAACACAGGTGATGAGAGGGCTGTCACTATGTTAGCACCAACCTCCAAAGGGAGAGGAAATACAAGGAGGAGCTACCAGGGGCCAGGGTGCCCAGTGCCCAGACCCAGAGCCCCACCTTTCACTGGGCCGGGTGTAGAGCCAGGCAGTCCCTGCCTTACTGGCTCCTCAGCCACACCTGCCTCTGCTGGTGATGATTTGACTTCTTATGTGGTGGACATGGAGATGGCCCTTCAACAACATGCCTTTCTGGTGAATTCTCATATTTTTAAATCCCCGTGTAATCCCTAAATACTAGAGGACATGAAGGGATTCTCCAACAAATGTGGGTATGTTATCTGTCCTGAATCAGACCAGTCAGTCTGGTTTCAAATCTTTTGCTTTTTAAATACAAATGTGGAAGAAGACCAAGTCCCAGAATGATATTTCTGTGGCAGTCCTAAGTTTGTTTGTTTGTTTTGGTGACACTTAATATACTCTTTTTTCCCTTTAACCCTAGTGATATGCAGAGGTTTCCCCCGGCTCTACACTTGGGAATTACTCCTGGAAGTGCATGGTGGTGGTGGTGGTGGTGGTGGTGGTGGTGGACATATGGGGACATATGGGATATTTGGGTCAGCTGCGTGTAAGGCAAGTGCCCTACCTGCTCTGGCCCTTATAAGATAGTTTCTTATCATGTTGTCCTGGAAGGAGATGTAGGCAAAAATATTTTCACTAACTACGGTGCATTTTCAATACAGAAAAAAGAAAATAAATGACTGATGCCCATACATCATTCACTGCTTGACTCAACACACATTAACAATCTGTAGTGTTCGCTTAAGAACACTTGAAAATAAAACAGGTTGCAGAGCTAGTGAAAACCTTGCTCATGTCCCTAGACAGGTGACTGTCAGGACTACTGTGTGCTATCCTGTGTATGCTGAACGTAGCTGAGAGTCACCAAGTGCAAGCATACAATTAATGTTATTGTTGTACGTGTTTAACATTTTTCCTGGGTAGCATATTGTGTGTAGTTTTTTGCAGTTCATGTGACATATCATAAGGTCCATAGGAAATTCCAGACCCAGAAAAATACTAAAACTTTCCAAAGTCTTCTGTTATCTTGTCAAAAAGAGAAGGACTTTGTGATTTCCAGAAATTATTCAGGAAGTAGGGTAGACACGTCAATTTCCATTATGTCACTGTCACTGTCCTCTCATTGTTCATTGATTTTCTCGAGCGGGCCCAGTGACGTCTCCATTTTGAGACTTGTTGTTACTGTGTTTGGCATATCGGAGATACTCTCATTAGCTTGCGGGGCTCTCCGAGAGGGGCGGAGGAACTGAACTCAGCTCCGCTGGGCTGGCTGTGTGCAAGGCGAACGCCCTAGCACTGTGCTATGGCTCCATTATGTCACTGGAATAAAAATTGCAGTATTACTTTTTCTCCAATAAATCATAAAGTTACTCCAATAGTTTAGAGGATTTGTCCAACTAAAAATTTCTAATACCTTTTGCTATTTTTCAGTCCTGGTGTAATGACAGGAACTGTATCAACCATGATCAGTTAAGGTAATGGAAATTAAACCAAGCCATATACCATTAAATAATTTGATAAAGACTAGCTCTTATTGACATTAAAGAAATGTAGAGAAATCTTGGGGATTCCTAATCAATGCTCAGAGGGCCCAAGTTCCAGTGATACTTAGACTACCAGGTTGGAAGGTTCAGTGCTAGGTCTTGACCTTAGTGCTTCTCAGTCCCAGTGGTGTTGGAAGATACTAGGGCCATCACATGGTTATCTGGGGTAACACGTAGGACCAGAAACACAACTTGTGTCCTTGAAAATGCAAGGTACATACCCCTGATCCCTGACTACTCCTCTGGACACCCTTAAGTACTGCTTGGAGTATTACAAAACACTATGGTGGGTAGATGCATGGATAGGTGGATTTATGGATGTATGGATGGAGGAATGGATGGATGGGTGTGTGGGAGAATAGAGAGGTGGATGATTGGATGAGGGGGGTAAATGTACACATGGATGAAAGGACAAATAAATAAATGGGTAGATGGATATTGAGACAGCCTGGAGTAAATTCTTGACATTTATTCATTCATATATTGACAGAGAAACTTCATGAAGAAATTGATAGGGTGATTGGACCAAACCGAGCCCCTGCTGTGAAGGACAGGCTAGAGATGCCTTATATGGATGCTGTGGTGCATGAGATCCAGCGATTCATTGACCTTGTGCCCTCAAATCTGCCCCACGAAGCAACCCGGGATACAGTGTTCAGAGGTTATGTCATCCCCAAGGTGAGATGTGAGATTGGAGAGCATGTGCCAAGCACCACCTTATTGACTTACAGAGAATGGGGAAGGGATGGCGACTGGGCAAGAACTTCAACCTGTGGTGTACTTCTTCCCCAGTACTTCTGACAGGGGCCTGGGGACTATAGAAAAGGAGGAAATCTGGAAGGGACGCCTCAGATAGTGCCCAGGTTTACTATAAAACCAGAAAGAAACAGCAGTGACATTCAGCCTTAGAATGAACCCTTTAAAAAGGGTTCCCATTGCTGCTTAGACCTGAACTCTCACTTCTTTCCATCTAGTACGTAAGGAAAATTCTCCACATGGAAGTAGATAGTCCTATAGGATGTAAAATTCAAAACAGCTTCCCTCAATGGGGACTCAATGTTTTGTTAACTGGACTGACTAAAGCCACCTTTATTCTTTCTAGGGCACAATGGTAATACCGACACTGGACTCTCTCTTATATGACAAGCAAGAATTCCCTGATCCAGAGATGTTTAAACCAGAGCACTTTCTGAATGAAGATGGGAAGTTCAAATACAGTGACTATTTCAAGGCGTTTTCTGCAGGTGGGATTTTAAGCATTGTACCTTCTTCTCTACTTCCTGCTCACTGCTCCACTGTGGTCTACTGTTGTTGCAGGCCACCACCAGGTCCTAGTCTTATGTTTGCAATTCACTGGTGCTCTTTCCTGGTCAGAGAGGTTAAATTACATGTCTTTACCAGAAGTCCTGGGGGGCAGGGAAGGGGGAATGCATCTTCCATACAGTAAATTATTTAGGGCTAACCTTCTTAATTAACTTAATAGAAGTTGGTGGAAATCTTTCAGAACTGTTACCCAGTTCCCTTTCATGATTTTAAGCAAATATTACCGAATAAAGTTTAACTTTAGGTTAGCTTGACCCAGCATAGCATCATGGAATATTCCTCGGCCTATGTGTGGCACAGTGAGCCCTTCTGGGGCTCATCCTGTGTCTCCCTCCCCCCAATCCCTGTTTCAGAGCAGAGATGATCATATAACAAACCTGAGAGCTCTAAGACCCAATGTAGAGTGTGCAGTTTTCAGTCAAGGCCCTGATTCTTTCCTCTAGAATGTTAGGGTGAGCCCTGGGCAGAGGCCATTCTCCCACCTCACACAGATTTATTCAAGTGAGTCCTGATGCTGGAGGCCCTATAAAGCCTGTTCCCAGAAAATGTCCCAGAATAATCCAGAACAATGCGAATGTGTAATCACAGACACACAGTATTCCATGCTCTTTTTTGGAGGGCAGATGAGACTTAGTTCTGCAAGATGGTGGCAGTTATGTACTGCCTCCACCTGGAACTCCCTCTGCCATCTTAGTGCTAACAATGTTATCTCCTGAAGTGCCTCAGTGTCTCATCAGTACCACTGTCTTCATTGCAGGGAAGAGGGTGTGTGTTGGAGAAGGACTGGCTCGCATGGAACTCTTCCTCTTCTTGTCCGCCATTTTGCAGCACTTTAACTTAAAGTCTCTTGTGGACCCCAAGGACATTGACCTCAGTCCCATCACAATTGGATTTGGCAAAATCCCACCCCATTATAAACTCTGTGTCATTCCCCGCTTGTGAGTATGAAGCATCTCTCCTCAAAGGCTCCCACCCCCAAGACTCCACAATGCAGGCTTGGAGTCCATTCACTTTCTAGTGTCCTGAAGGGTAATCAAGAAGACCACTCCAGCAAAGGCAGTCAAGGCTCCAGGGGGGAAAATGTGGGACCTAGAGCTGATATCCAGAGTCATATACTTCAGACAGGACTTGAGAAGTCAAAATTTTGTGTAAAACTGAGCATAAAACTATGATTTAGTTTCAATCTATGTTAGAATTTCCAAAAGCAATGGTAAGATTATATCATGGTGGCTTAAATTCTCCTCTTATGAAAAAAGTAAAAGTATCCTGTGATTGATAGCCCTTACAAATAATTGACAAAAAGGAATCCAGGCACAGTTTTGTAGCTTAAAGGATGAAATAATATAATAAATAGACCCTTTCCTTGGACATCAGATTGTTCTTCGGGGCTCACTAAGAGTATCATTCTGCACATTTAAGATTAAACTATGTCTAGAAGTCTGAAAAAATATTTGTAATTATCTCAACACTAAAACGTGATTTTATACTTGTTGGAAAAAACTCTAAGTGCATGGGGACGTTTGTGTGGAATGAGACAGAGATAGGGAAATCTGTAACCAGTTTAATGCACTAACCCTTAATCTTATGCAATGGAAGAGGAATTTCTCTCTGCACCCTGAGAACTCCCTGCCTCCCCACCTCAGGAAGATTTCTATGTGCTTAACTTTTAAGGGCAGGCTGAGAAGATGCCCCTCTCTGCACTGGGGAGGATGGCAGAGTCTTCTGAACACGGCACGGCAGTTTAGATATTTCAGTGCTGTCCCCTTGGAGGGGCCCTGGAAAAATTCAGGGGTCAGGAGTAGCTTTGGGTGTTTGTGCATTTTCTCTTAAAATGTAACTTGAAAGGTTTTAGAGTTTGGGCAGTTTTGAAGGTAAAGGCAAGCAGGAGGTGAGGAGATAGCTCAATAAGCTATAATGCATGCTTTGATTCAATAGCCTGAACTACATGGTCCTCTAAGTACCCCCAAGAGCCACCCCTAAACACAGACAGGAGTAGCGAGTTAACATCATCATGTGTAGTTCCAAACTCAAATAATAAATGTTGAGCAGAACAAAAGAAACAAGGTTTTCTGCATGAGTTTCTTTTGCTTATTGTTCCTTCCTTCAGAGTAGGCTGGAAGACATTTACTGACCTGGAAAGATAGCTCAATGGACGTAGTACCTGCTTTACATGTAGGATACCCAGCACCACATGGCCTCCAAACATGAGGAGCATGTTGCCCAGCACAAGCACAGAACTGCAAGAGTCCCCAAGCACTACCAGGTACAGGAAGGAAGGAAGGAAGGAAGGAAGGAAGGAAGGAAGGAAGGAAGGTATATTGCTTCTGCAAAGATTTTCCTACAAAAGTTTGAAAGAGGTGGAATGTTTTGTCTCATTCAACTGACGATGTGTCAGGTGTTCCCATTTCTTTATGGCCATTTCTCAAAACAAGCAAGCCAAACTCTTAGATCTCAAGTCTGAGAATAAACCTCGTTGGCTTGAAGTTCTGTTCTTGAAACCAGTGGATCAAGACTAGAGCCAGTCTCTATGGCCTGTAGTTAGAACCAGAGTTGTAGGATCTTAGAGTGCCCTACTCTGTTTGGCTGCCCTCTGGAAGCATCTTGGAGCTTGATATCAGTGAGGGACCCTCTGTAAACCCAAAGAATCACAATATTTGGCCTGGCCTTTCTCTGCAATTTAGCAAATCCCAAAGATCAAATATGCAGCCAAGGATTAGCCAGCCTTTCACCTAGACCAGAAGACCACCTGAGATCTGGGCTCATCCAGATTGCAAAAAGAAGAGCAAGTTGGAGTGACTGGCCTCCAGTGTTTTTAAGAACCATCTTCTCCTTCAGCTGGGAAATCAGGGAAGTTCCCATGAGAGCCTTGTCGTTCTGCCTTCTTCCTGCTGTCCATTGGATCCAGCCTATTCTGAAGACCATAATCTTCAGACATATTCTCTGAAAGGCCAGAGTCCTTCTCTTTTGACTCCTGGCCCCAAGGCTTGGTTGTATGGTATGAAATCACAGCCATCTGTGTCATGTGCTGGGCAGTGGCCTCTAGTGCAAGTGTTGGGCACTGCAATCAGTTTGTGCTGGGCAGTGCCATCTATGTGTGTACTGGGTACTGTCATTGGAGTGTATGTGCTGGGCAGTGCCATCTCTGTGAATGTGCTGGTAAGTGTCAGGTGTGAAGCTCTCTCTCTTGTTCAGGCCAGATACCAATATCTCTGTCTCTTAGAAGATGTTATCAATGTTGTGCCCAAAGGACAAATGAGATAAACTGAAAGTTACTAGCAACCTGCTGGTGGAATAGTGTTCCTCTCATTTAATCTGAAATGATAGGTCTCGCCACAGAATTATTTGTGAGCATAGAAATGAGGTCATTATATATCTAGCAAGTTGTTAGAGCTGTATAGATTATGCCATTTTAACATGTAACAGAGTTAGCTTAATCAATTACACCAAGATCTTAAGGCAAAAAAAGCAAGGAGATCGTATTTACTATGGCTGGCCAGGTCAGGGAATGAAGCTATTGGTGGACAGGATGAGGACAGAGCACTCTGTATAGTTTTTCCCCCGGTACACCAGAGAAAGGGTGGAATAGAAATAAAACAGGCAAGAGAATGGGTTTTGGGGCTAGTTGCACAGCAACAGTACATCCAGGCAGATGGGTAGGTCATGGGATTTAGAGGGGGCCCTTATTGCTAGGAATCTTTGTGTTAACTGATCATTTCTGTGGCCCTGTCCAATCCCTGCTCAAGTAATCAGTCAGTCTGGCTCTACTGTCCTTATCAACTTTATGATTTATGACTCAGTCATCTCTGTCCACTCCCTAGAATGAATCACTCAGAGGTCTGGCCTCTAGTTACCTGCTTAGTTACCTAACTTTCCCCCTCCAGGGTGGTGATTTTTGGATCATTAATACATCACGATAAAGCATTTCTTAAGCAAAAAGTAACAAAAATGAAGAGTACATGGAGGTGAAAACTGCAATTTAATCTTTGCACATATACCGATGAAGTAGTGTTGTATAATGAAAAACAAACTTGTCCTCCAAAATATCTTATTATTTGGGGTGGAGAGTGTGTTCAGTGCTTACTTCTGGCACTGTGCTCAGGGATCACTGTTGGAGTGTGAACTATTTAAAAGGGGAACACAATAATGACAACAAACTAAAGTGGGACAAAGAAGAAAAGAACAAAATAAGGGGCAGGGCTTTACAATGATCCTGATGTCATAGGGCATCCAAGAAGATGTTCCCACCACCCCAACACAGCATCTCTGTTGTCTTTGTGAGCTCTGAAGACAATGGTCAGTTCTAATTGTTGCTGAGATCAGAGAGTCAACACCTCTTTACAGAGCCTTTAGAAGGGCTTTTATTGGGTTCATAGTATGTCCTGCCTCCCTCTGCAGCTAGGGATCAACGTCACTTGGTTTTCTTTAGTTTGCTGATCATGAATAAATGGAAAACCTCTTTTTGCCTCCCAATCTCATTTAACTGTGAGTTTTTGCATACAAAATTTCACAAAAGCACTATGAAATATATTTAATTGGGCCAGTATGACAAATAGTGAATAGAAGAGTGTCTACTCTAGGTACATCGGTGGATCTCGTTGATGTGGAATAATAGGTAAAGATTGTTCTACAGGAGAGAACGTGCATGCATGTGGTCATATTTCATGCTAGGACTGTGCACATCTCCAGCGATCTTTTTTTTTTTTTGGTTGCTTTTTAGCCCACACCAGGCAACGCTCAGGTGCTGCTCTTGACTCTGTTGCTCTCCCCTTTGCTATCCAGGCTAAAAGAGGAGCTGGAAATACTGAGTGCACATCCCTGCTCAAGCCCAGAAAAAGCAAGAGGGTAGCCTAGCAGAAACTGTGAGGCCTAGATATTCAAAATAGAAAGTGTTCTGTTTATTGATTATACTGACATTTATCACTGGCAAGGTTCTCACCTAGACATGGTAAAATTTGGGTGGACTCTTCAGTGATCTGATTTGTAGCAAGAACATGTCTACATGGTCAGTAGGATATAAGAAGACCATGCTCCATGTCGATTTGGGGATCCCTGGTTCTGAGACTGTGCACACAACTAATCATCCACATGCATTCACATATGGGTCTGCAGAGAAGAGTGCTGGGAAGTACGTTTTGGCTGAGATGTTTATTCTCACATGATATATAGCCTTACCGGATAAAAGGCTATCTTTTATGACATCTTATTATCTCATTCCTACTTTGGACAAACTTGCAGGCTATCGAATGTAGCCTGCCCACAGGGCAGAGTCTGGCAAACTCCCCGTGGTGTACCAAATATGCCAAATACCAGTAACAATGATGGGTCTCATTCTCCTAAAGAGCCTTGAATACAATCTCAGGGTTAGGATGAAAGAGACGTTACTGGGGCCTGCTCGAGGCAATCGACGAATAACAGGATGATGAAATGAAATGAAAATGAATGATATATAGCCTTACTTTGCTGCTATTTGTAAAGTTATATTTTATGAAATAAACTGAAGAATCATAAGCATTGTCATTCAAGTTCTATGCCTCTAGTTGATTTTTTAATTGATATGTGTGCAGCAAACATTCATTTAGCTATTCTATAACTTAGTCGAGTCTTTCCTGTTTTTAAAGAACCTATTCATAAAATGTCTGGAATATATAGTGAGATGTTCTCAGGAAGAACCAAACTTTAAGCTTGATATATCTCTTACTGTGCTCATACAAAATGACATTGCTAGAAATAATATTAGAAGTAAATTTACTACTATTTAAGTGGATTACTAGCTGAGGAAAGAAGAAAGCAACACACCCTGGATGGAATCATCCTTGATCAGATCTTCTAGTAATCTGGAGTAAAAATCTCCTTAGATGAGATTTTGTCCTTGAGTTGATCACCTGGAGGAGTGGCCTTACTCTCTTTGTTGATTTAATGTTCAACCCCACCTTTGTATCCCACCCTACATGATTTCTATCTAAACTATGCTATAAGGGGCTGGGGAGGTGAGAAGGAAAGTCAGATAGGTGAGACCAGATGGTCAGAACGCCAGGGTCAGGAAGTTACAAGGTTACACGGTCACAGGGTTGGAAGAGGTCGGAAGAGGAAATGAGAAGACAAAGGCAGCAGACTGGAGACCACAAGACAGAGAGAGAAAGAGAGACAGAGACAGAGACTGAAGGAGAAGACAACAGCATGAACGGGAAACAGAAGACTTTACAAAACAGATTACAACAGCATGGACAGAAGACAGAGGATTTAAGAAAAGAGCCACAACGGCACACATAGAAGCAGAGCACAAAAGCGAAGAGAAGACAATAAGAAGATGAGGAGGAAAACTGAGACTTTGGAGACTTTGAGGTCTGCGAGGAGACTGGGATGATAGAACTCTGATAACTGAGACTATGGCCGTAATGACCACTACTACTGCGCCATAAAGGGAGAGATTAGACAACACCAGGGAGTCTGCCCATCACCCATCCTTCACCCAAAATCCCAGAAATGCCTAGGGAGGCCCTTCCTGGTCCACCTAACACCGCCTCCGCTTTCTGCCTGCACTTGGCCTGCGTGCAGGCCGGTCTGCACCACAGCCCACCGATTTCTCATTTCTTTTTCTTTTTTTTTTTCATTTTTAAGGTCACACCTGGCAATGCTCAGGGGTTACTCCTGGCTCTGCACTCAGGAATAACTCCTGGCGGTGCTCGAGGGACCATATAGGATGCTGGGAATTGAACCCAGGTCGGCCGTGTGCAAGGTAAAGCCCTACGTGCTGTACCATTGCGCCAGCTCTCACTTTTTAAAAAAATTTATTAATTTATTGAATCACTGTGGGAAAAGTTACAAAGCTTTCAGGTTTAAGTCTCAGTCATGCAATCATCAAACACATTTCCCTTCACGAGTACTTATTTTTCACCAAGAAGAACCCCAATATACCTCCCTCCCAACCCTCCCAATGCCTGTGAAGCAGATGAATTCTAGTTAACACTCTATCTACTTTGATTAGATTCATTGTTTTCAACAAAAGATGCACTATTATTATGTAGAGTTTACACCCCCATATCAGACCTCTTGAAAAGACATTCTGAAATAATTTGTTTCTATAGCTGGTTGCAACAATCAAATGATGACGCGTGGCCGCAATTGCGGCCGCGCAATTTTGGATTTCTGATATTTTACTTGGGCTGGAGCGATAGCACAGCGGTAGGGCATTTGCCTTGCACGCAGCCAACATGGCCGATCCGGGTTTGATTTCTCCGCCCCTCTCGGAGAGCCCGGCAAGCTACCGAGAGTATCTCGCCCACACGGCAAAGCCTGGCAAGCTCCCCGTGACGTGTTGGATATGCCAAACACAGTAACAAGAAGTCTCACGATGGAGATGTTACTGGGCCTGCTCGAGCAAATTGATGAACAACGGGAGGACCGTGGATATTTTACTTATTAAGCCTGGAAGTATTTCTGCCAAGAGTCAGATAATTATGAGACTGGTTTCTGTGGCTCTAGATCCATGGCCGTGCTGGAGAGCTGCTCGTGGGGGGAAACTTGTGACCTTGGTAGGGCATGAAGGACGAGCCCAGAACGCCCCCCTTCCCATGAGGTTTCAGTCACCCCCGTCACGACCAGCTCATACTTGGCTTTCCAAAAAGCTCCGAGGCGGCCGCCATCTTGCTGTCCAGAGGGAAAAAGGCAGAAGGGAGCAACATCCTTTTCCCTCTGGGCAGGCATGGTGATGTGGATTAATGCATAGTCCATTCACTTTACTGCTGCAAGCTGCTGGGTTCTGCATTAAGTCCTTGTGCTTCTGGAGCCATGGCCATGCTAGAGAGCCGCTCGTGGGGGGCAACTTGTGACCTCGGTCGCTCCAGTCCTCATTTATCATTTCTTATGTATCCTATTACGTGTTGAGTGAGATGAAAAACTCAACACATATTTCTAGGTTGTTTTGTTTGCATTTTTACAAAAAAACAGGTGAAACTTTATTAAGGACTTCTACTTCATTTTGTCCAACTATTTTATTTCATGAACTAAAGTTTAATAGTCATAATAATGGACTTAACTGAATTACAATTTTTTGAAAGTGAGTTTTCCACTCCCCTCTCGGAGAGCCCGGCAAGCTACCAAGAGTATCTCGCCCACACGGCAAAAGCCTGGCAAGCTCCCTGTGACATATTCAATATGCCAAACACAGTAACAACCAGTCTCACGATGGAGATGTTACTGGGCCCGCTCAAGCAAATCGATGAATAACGGGAGGACTGTGAGTTTTCCACTGTCTTTCGGATACTTCTGAGAAGTGTGAGCTATTAATAGTGTACTGCCAGTTTACATAGGTAGGGTTAGATAAGAAACCTGAGTATGAGATTGATGCTTAAGATCTGACTGACTGAGGAATATTCCTCAGCTCATGTTCTTCCTTCCTCTTATTGAAACAGAAATCTTTGGTCTGTAAGACTCTGTCCACCTACCTGGTGTAGGAGGCTTCCTAGAGAAGAAATCTTTTTGTACCTAGTTAACTGTATTTTTAACCTAGGACTGCAGATCTCGACTCTCATTTTGCTTTTATTTTTTTATTTTGCTTTTTGGGTCACACCCAGCGATGCTCAGGGGTTACTCCTGGCTCATACACTCAGGAATTACTCCTGACAGTGCTCGGGGGACCATATGGGATGCTGGAAATCGAACCTGGGTTGGCTGCGTGCAAGGCAAATGCCCTACCCGCTGTGCTTTTGCTCCAGCCCCTCATTTTGCTTTTAGTTTGAAACCTGCATCAGAAATGCTTAATAGTCAGGTGACCCACTTCCCTCACACTGAGGGTTTCTAACATGTTTTCTTCTATGACAAAAGTCTGAGTTATAATTGTGTCAATGAGAATTCAAAAAACAACTCATTTTCTTGTTACATTTCCTTTTCTCAGCTCATCCTAGGGAATATAAAAATTGACTGGCCACATAATACCTGACATTTTAGTTCTCATTGTTGGGATTTTATTTTTGGCCACACTTGCAGTGCCCAGGGCTTACTCCTGGCTCTATGCCCAGGAATCTCTCCTGGTGGGGCTCAGGGAACCATGAGTTGTTGGGGACTGAACCCAGTTGGTGCATACTAAGAAAAGTGCCCTACTTCTTGTAATATTCTCTCTGGCCCCATGATGCAGCCTTCCGAGTTATTTATAAATAAGAACAAAAAAAATTTTTGTTGGGAGGTCGGGGTGGAGGGATCTGGTGACACTCAGGGCTTACTCCAGAATCTGTGCTTAGAAATACTTCTGGCAGTGCTGGGGGACATATGTGGTATGAGGATTGAATCAAGGTTGGCCATGTGCAAGGCAAATGCCCTATCCACTGTACTATCACTCCAGCCTAGAAAAAATTAATTTTATTTAGGATTTTGGGCCCGTACTCAGCAGTGCTCACGGCTTACTCTGTGGTATGTACTCAGGGGATCTTTTCTGGTTGACTTGGGGAATCATATGGGGTTCTGGGGTCTAACCCCAGTTGACCAAGTGCAAGCAAACGCTCTACCCACTGAAATATCTCTCCAGCCCATAAAAAGAAATTTTAGAAACTTAACAGGGTAGGATTATAGAATCCCATTGAAGAGATGGCCTCAGGCCTGTATCCTTCTGTTTGTGGTTCCAGAAAATGGTATCAGGCCCTAGAATGACGAGATCAGAGACAAAAGTTAAGGAAGCATTTATTGAATGTCTTCTGAGACTTACTGAGGCAAAGAAGCAGAACGTGGTTAAGGCTTCACCCAGCTCAGGGGTCTTAAGTCTCAGCAAATGTAAAAAAAATAATGCCTTTGTTTTAGAAGCCCATGGAATAAGATCATGGTGGAATGGATCTTCCTTGTCTATGAGGGTATCAGACCCTGCACAGTAGGCAGCTCTGAGTCTTTCTCCTCACTGATTCCAAGAGGCTTGAGATTGGCCTGCAGGAGGTAAGTGTTTGTGATTTGAATCTCCATGCATATCCCTGCCCATACTCTCCCTCAGTCTGCCCTTCCCACCCCAGCACTCCCAGTGTCTGAACTCGGCTAGTGCCCCTGCAGAAAGCTTTCCTTTCCCAAATATATCTCTGAAGACTCCAAGGACCTCTTTCTTGTCCTCCTCCTGTCAGGTCCTTTGAGGAGATATCTGTGGTCTCTGTCTCCCCCATTCTAAGGACTCACTGCTTCTGCTAGGTGAGCCTCTTCTCGTATATTCTGGGCTTGAGCAGGGACCTGCACTCCAAGCATTTCCAGCTCCTCTTTTAGCCTTGACAGAAAAAAGTAGAGCAGCATGGTGGGAAGGATACAAAGAAACCAGGAATCAGACAAAGGTTGGTTGAGGAGCCTCCCTCAGCTATCTTCTCCTTGTGGGCTGGGGGAGGGTCTCCACCTCTGTCTCTTCAACTGCAGTTGCTGGCACTTCTGCTGTAGTTGTTCATGGCGCTGAACAGCTGCATCCAGGAGGTCCTGGGCCTTCTGGTTCTCCTCCTCAAGCAAATGCCTGAAGATGGAACCATTAGAGCTGGCATCTCTCTTCCTTCCCCTCTTCCACCCTCCCAGTTACAGTCTTACACTACTGCGGCTGCCTCCTGGCTGCGAAGGAAGACCCCTTCATTGATAGAGCGACCTTCGGTCCCAAACTGGGAGCATAGACGGTGCTTCATATCCTCTAGTTTTGCCTCTACTAGCTTCTCTGCAGCATGGACAGACGGAAAGGCGAGGGCAGGTGACGGTAGAACAAATTAGAGCTCCCCACCCCAAGGCTTACCTTCCTTGAGCAGTTGCTCCTTGCTATTGTCCAGTGTGTTAATCTCCTGAATCAGTCGCTCAGGTCTCTGAGATTAGAAAATAGGATCATTCACATCTTCTGTCTCATGCCCCTACTATGTATCTCAGAGAAGTCTTAATGAATCTGGTCCTAAGTATGCCTCATTTCCTATTACTCTGGCCCTCTAAACATCTAGGTATGGTCAATAATTCAGAGTTTTCCCACTGGTTATCCCTTATTCCCCAAATTGTATCACTCCAGAATCTAACAGTATTGTGTGGAGAAGTACGTGCTTATTGATGCCAGGAACTTTTCAAGTTTTGAAATCCACCCTGAGATATTTACTATAGGGAATCATGCAAACAATACATGATATGTTCCTTAAGAATATGTTCCTCTCCTTCCCATGGTGTGGCCTTCTTAAGGATCCTTTCCATCCTGACATTCATTATCTGTTTACTTCCTTGCTCTCTGTGTGCCTGGGATGCACTGGTGCCAAACGCTTGCCTGCTTGGTTCCCCATTGTCTTTTCTGTGCCTGTGATTATAGATACACCCAAGAATCTCTGTAAGGGATGATCCATTTGTGATCCACCACCTATATTCCTCCTGATCACTGGAAATTCTGGGATGGCTGGCAACAGGTATGGGTGGGGAGGACCAGCAGAGAGGATGACGGTGGATGGCAGTGAACATGATGAAAACCCGAGAAGAGTGATTTTTCAGAAACTGGCTATTACAGGTAATGGGAAGGAGTCCTGGAAGAAGACTCTGAGTTTTTGGCCTGGTGCTACGGTGGGAGAACTGGCTTTGATTCACTCACATGAAATTCCCACAGATCCTTGTGTTTGCTCATCAGATCCTCCAGCTGTTCTTCGAACTCCAACCTGCAGGCCACAGGATAAGGGAATATGGACAGATCCCTCCCCCCACCCCCACTGACCTATTCCAGACATCGTGGGGGGGGGGGGTCACATTCCAATGCCCTGCTGCCAAGTGTTTTTGCCACCTTGACCCTCCCAGGTGCCCACTGAGTCAGCTTTTCTGTCAATCTCTATCTCTTAGATTAGTCCCACCTAGAGTCTACTGATTTACTCTATCGGACACTACCTCAGTTGCCTCTGTTTATTCTTCTCTTCCTCAATCTTGGAATTTAGGGCAGAAATTCGCTCCTTGCACCCCTCCAGCATGCTGTGCTTCCTGGGATTAGAAAGGCAGCTTTCATGTTTTTATTTTATTTATTTTTATTTTATTATTGAACCTCAGTGAGATATACAGTTACAAAGTGTTCATAATTGGTTTTCAGTCATATAATGTTCCAACAACCATGAAATGCAGCTTCTAGTCATATTATCTGTATGTGTGCCCAGAAGGGGGATGGAAGAAGCACCTATCTCCTCCTCTTTGAGACTTAGTTTTTCTATCGCCAAATATTAGTATCCTCAGAATTTTTCAAACAGTTCTAGTTTACACATAATAGGGTGTGGGGCCTCTGAACACAAAATGGGTTAAATAAGTATTCATGAGATAGAAATATGGATACATAAGTAGTTGGGTAGATGGAAATATAACGAATGGAGGAGTTTAGAGATGATTGAGTCAATGTTAAAATAATGAAATGAGTGAAGACGCAGCTAAGGAATGCATGAGAAGAGTAAAAGGCAAAACTGATGTTTTATCAAAATAATGCTTAGCACACAGAGATCATATACTCAACACTACTGCCTTCTGTTGGAGCTAAGTATTAAGATGCTTTGACCTTTCCATTTTACAAAGAGAGTTGCTAATCTGAGAATGATTTCTCTCCTTCTATAACACTAGCAGAAAGAAATGCAGGGAAGAGGGAGGTCAAATGGAAAGCTCTTACCTTTGTGCCTCACCTTCTTTCTCCTTGCAGTGGAGCCTGAGGATTCTTAGGGTCTCTGCAGAAAAGGTAAACCAGGGCCCAGAGAGGTCATCAAGTTTGGCATACATAAGTCAAATCAAAGACCAAGAGATAGTACAGTAGATAAGGTGCTTGCTTTAAATGCACCTGATATGAGTTCAATCTCTGGTACCACATCTGGGCCCCTGCGCCCCACCAGGCGTGATCCCCGAGCACAGAGCCAAGAGTAAGCCCTGCATACTTCCAGTGTGGCCCAGAAACAAAACAAAAAGTTCAAACCATATGAACTTTTCCTCAACAGGTCTCAAGTACACCTGATGGGGCTTTGTAGTTTACTGCAAGTATGATGAAAACCACCAAAAAGATGCAAGCTTATTTGTATTTTAAAAGCTTGCTATGGAAAGAGTGAGATTCTTCAAGTAGGCAAAGACAAAAGCTCTGACACAGAGTAGCTACAGTTACCTTGCTTTTTGTTCAAGATTTCTTTCAGGTGTATTTTCTCTCCACTCACTGGAAAACATAGTAATTGTATCCGGCATCAGTTTTCACTGCACCCTTGGGGACTGGGTTTACCCAACAGATCAAGGGGTGTTTCTGTACAGTTTTACCAATAATTCTAAATGTGAACCCTTCAGGGAAGTTCTCTCCTTTCCCATGCTTGAATTCCCAGTTAAGGAACAAAGGGCCCTGGTGTTGATAAAGTGGCTGTGAGAACCTCATGGAATGCCACAGTGTTTACATGATGGGGAGACAAAAAGCAAACACAACACAGGAAGCAAGATAAAAGTTATGAATAAACACATCAAGCAGTCAGGAAAATGTGACAGGTGTGGGCTGGGTGTAATCTATAGATGGAATGAATGATTGAAGGTCTAAAACTGGGACATCATGTTTGGTCTATAGTCTACTTTCAGCATGCTTCTCCCATCCTCGGAGAATCCTCCCAACACCTTTCATTTGGTGCTCCCTTCTCTATCTGAGCTCCCTTTTCCCCTAGCATGTGTGGCTGGCCTCCAAGCCATGGAGCAAAATTCCTGGTACTAATCTCAGCCTCTCTTGGGTGTTAGTCTCCTATTTTGTTACTTTATGTTCCCTACATTGCCATTCAATGCCACTTTTGCAAACCACAACACCCAAAAGGAGAGAGAGAACAAAAGGGAATGCCCTGACACAGAAGCAGGGTGGGATGAGGGGGATAGGGGGTGGGAGGGATACTGGGACCCGTGGTGGTGGAAAATGGGACTGGTGGAGGGATGGGTACTTGAACATTGTATAACTGAAACCCAAGCACAAAAATCTGTAAGTCTACAACTGAACCTTATGGTGTTTCACTAATAAAAATTTAAAAAATAAATAAATAAAATAAAAATAAATAAAACAGGGACATCTGAGTTGAAAAATTATGCAAGGAATTAGTTGTGTTATAAGAAAGAAATGTTCTAGCAAGGTCTGTGTGTGGGAGAATGCCTGAGGATATTTCTGAGTTAATCGCTTCCACAGAGTAGAAGAAAAAGAGATTGATAAGACCTGATAGGACCCTAACAAAGAAGAGGGAGGCCACATAAAGAATGCTGACAGTCTGGGACATTGGGTTCAGGAAGGCATGTAATTTTGGGGATTTCTGGTAACTCAATGTACACTTACAAGAGTCCAGTTCCTTCTGCAGCATCTCCCAGACATTCCGGGCCTCTCCTAGCTCCTCACTGGCTTTCTTTTTTGCTGTGCCAAAGAGTAGAAGGATAAACATTATGTAACTGCAGTCTCCAGCTGCATTCTTTCCTGCATTATTTCAGTGACATTTCGTATTTGTGTATAGTAATCCTGGAGGGCTGGAGCAATAGCACAGCAGGTAGGGCGTTTGCCTTGCACGCAGCCCACCTGGCTGACCCGGGTTCAATTTCTCTGCCCCTCTCGGAGAGCCCGGCAAGCTACCGAGAGTATCCTGCCTGCATGGCAAACCCTGGCAAGGTACTTGTGGTCTCTTCAATAAGCCAAACACAGTAGCAACTAGTCTCACAATGGAGACATTACTGGGTCCGCTCAAGCAAATTGATGAACAATGGGAGGACAGTGCTACAGTGCTACAATCCTGGAGAGGCCCATATTTTGTAGAGGGATAAAAAGAGGTTTCCATAGATAAAGCCTTTCTTATTAGGCCCAGTTGTTAGCAGGGTCAGGTAGCATCAGCATTTAGACTGATCTGTGCCTGGTTTAATGCTATCAGTGTTGCAAATATTTAGTAATTTTTGAACAAAGGGCCCTGCACTTTCATCTTGAACTGGGCTCTACAAATCATGTTTCTGGCCCTGGATGACAAGCCAAGTTTCCTGAGCTCACCTTGTTGAACCTCATTAATCCGGTTAATCAGGACCTCGACCCTGGGCTCTAGGCTTCCCACTGCAGAGATGAAAGAAGTTGGGGAGAGATGAGAGAACAGACAGAGGTAGTGAGGGACCTCCAGGGAGTCATATTTGGGGTAGTTATGGGGGAAAGGAAGCAATATTCATTCACAAAAAGGTTGTGATAACTGTGGTCAAGAGGAACATCAAAAACAAAGTATTCAAGAATGGAAGAGTAGATTGTGCTTCTTCAGATATAGGGAGCTCTCTTGAGGGTTTCACAATAAAGTGAGAAGGTAGTCTTTCAGCTTTCTGGGTGGGGTTGGGGACTGTTTGGTGAAAAGGTCTGCCCTCTGAGAATATGGTTGGAATGAGCTTCTGAGCTGGCAGAGAGTAGCAGAGATGAGGTCAAGTGGAGATGAAAATCTGGATTTAGTACTTTGAAAATTAAAATTTTAAAGTAACAGAGTGAATGAGTTAATTACCCAAGGTTGTGAACTTTGAGCCTGAAACTGAGTTTCCCACCCACAGACCCCAAAGCTCTGTGCAACAATTATGACCTTTTTGAAGCTTCTTCACCATTTCCATCAGGTCTTCTATTTTCTGTGAGGACTTAGCCTGTCCTTTGTAGAGAAACACAAGCACTTTAGAATACAGGAGGCATAATAAGGGGGGAAAAGGGTCTGATTGAGCCAGATCAATAATACATGTACTGTACTTGCATGTGGTCAACTCATACCACATATGGTCCTCTGATCCCTGCTAGGAGTGATCTCTGAGCATACAGCCAGGAGTTAAGTCCTGAGTATAGCTAGTGTGCACCCCCCACCCCCACCCCACACCTGGGGTGGGGATCTGACTACCATTCTCTTTGTCCTCCAGTCTACAGAAAAATGAGGAAAAATTCCTGTAGTTTAAAGGCCACCCAGTTTATGATATCTGTTAAAACAACCTGAATTAGGAAACTGGCAATGTTGACTTAACTTCATGTAAATATGTGAACATATCTGAAGAAAAAGCTTTCATACTGCAGTGGCCACACAGGTGTATACATATATAAACACAGGCATGCCTACATAACATACATAAGCAAATTCATATGCACATCTAGCTATACAAACATATGCACACTTACAACCTACGTATACATATGTATACATATATACAAACACAAACGTATGCACACCTATAACCTATGTATACATGGAGGTGTGTATCCACATATGCACACCTATGTACATATGTATGAACAGACACATGTACACTTACACAAACACCTACACATATGCACACCTATGTACACATACACACACATCTGTCCTTGGTGTAGCATCATCCATGAATAATGCCACACAACTCATAGACATATGACTGGCACCTGCTGCCTACCAAGATGGCACGCTGGCAGATCTGGTGGGGGGCCCTGGAAAGGCAGGCAGGAACTCAGGATCCTGTGCACTCTCTGCAAACCAGACCCTACATGGCAGATACTCAGGGTCCTGCATGACTCTCCCTGTCCAGTTCCGTGGTCTGCACATACCAGAGAGCTCGCGAGCCCCCTGGGGCCAGGACAGAAAGAGGTGGCCAAACACTGGCCACAGCAGAAAGGCCAGACTGGACACTGTGCAGTGGCAGGTTGGCACCGCGGGGAGACACCTCACGAGGGACAGTCCTGGCCTGAGAGCCCCACCAAGGCACTGCCTCAGCCACATGGAGCACGTGGGACCACGTTGCAAAGAGGAGGGATCGGTGCTGATGTACCGTGCGCCTGGAGCCCGGCCGTCAGTGACTTGCACGTCACGGTTCTAACAGACACCGTGTGACAAACGTTCACTGGGTGCGGCCCTCCTTCCCTTACCAACCCACACACGGAGGCTGGGGACACAAGTCGTCAGCGTCTGCACGCCCGCCCCTACAATGCAGCCCAGGAGACCCCTAACACGACCTCGGGAGACCCCCACGTGGATTCGGGAGGCCCCGACCAAGGCCTGAGAGATTCCGATAAGGCCTGGGAGACCCTGAGGCAGCCCCAGGTAACCCTGACACAGCCTTAAGAGACCTCCGAGGCGGCCCCAGGAGACCCCAACTGCTGCCTGAGGAGCCCCTGAGATGGCCCCAGGAGACCCCGCCTACAGCCTGAGGAGCCCCTGAGATGGCCCAGGAGACCCCGACTGCGGCCTCAGGAGCCCCTGAGATGGCCCAGGAGACCCCGACTGCGGCCTGAGGAGCCCCTGAGATGGCCCAGGAGACCACTACTGCGGCCTGAGGAGCCCCTGAGATGGCCCCAGGAGACCCCGACTGCGGCCTGAGGAGCCCCTGAGATGGCCCAGGAGACCCCGACTGCGGCCTGAGGAGCCCCTGAGATGGCCCAGGAGACCCCGACTGCGGCCTGAGGAGCCCCTGAGATGGCCCAGGAGACCCCGACTGCGGCCTGAGGAGCCCCTGAGATGGCCCCAGGAGACCCCGCCTGCGGCCTGAGGAGCCCCTGAGATGGCCCAGGAGACCCCGACTGCGGCCTGAGGAGCCCCTGAGATGGCCCAGGAGACCCCGACTGCGGCCTGAGGAGCCCCTGAGATGGCCCCAGGAGACCCCGCCTACAGCCTGAGGAGCCCCTGAGATGGCCCAGGAGACCCCGACTGCGGCCTCAGGAGCCCCTGAGATGGCCCAGGAGACCCCGCCTGCGGCCTGAGGAGCCCCTGAGATGGCCCAGGAGACCCCGACTGCGGCCTGAGGAGCCCCTGAGATGGCCCCAGGAGACCCCGCCTACAGCCTGAGGAGCCCCTGAGATGGCCCAGGAGACCCCGACTGCGGCCTGAGGAGCCCCTGAGATGGCCCCAGGAGACCCCGACTGCGGCCTGAGGAGCCCCTGAGATGGCCCAGGAGTCCCCGATCGTGGCCTGAGGAGACCCAGGTGACAACGTGGTCCTTGTGGCTCCACCCGAGAGGGGGAAGTGCCCTCACGAACCCGCCGCCGGTGCTACCTGCCACAGGGTCTGGCTCGGCCGCACCTAACTGTCCAGGTAGCCCCGCCATCCCTCAGCGACGCCTTCAGCGCCGGCACAGGGACTGGGCAACGGTTAGGGCCGGCCACTGCGCGCTCCTACGCACTCTGCCCGCTTCCGCTGCCTGAGCCCAGCTAGTGCGCATGCCTAGCCCCGCCTCCCCAAGCGACTTTCAGTTTTATGATTGGCTGGTTGAGAACAGCAGCCTTCGATTGGCCGAATGAGGGCAGTGACCTGCACTGGTGTGAAGAGTAGTTAATGTTATTGCAGTGACGTGGTCTTTTCCACTTTGTGGTGAGCTAAGCAGGTTATAGCTTTGCTCTTTCAGCATTTCTTCCACAGGTCTCCCTTCTGATCCTGACCCTCACTCCTAGTCCTGACCCTAAACTAACCTTCCGCATTCCATATTCAGGAGTGATGTCAACGGTACCTCCACCTGGCCCTTGACCATTCTCCTGTATGAGGAGGTTAGCTTGCAGTGAAACTCTTCGCATAAACTTGAATCTAGGCTGTATTAGCCCCCTTGTTCCCATGTCTTCACTGGTGGTGGTGCACAAGTGTGCTGAAAATTGGCTTAAGGTTCATCTTGCCCTATTCTCCTTCTCTTGCACAGCGTCTGAGACATGCAGGCTGGATAGACATGCCCAGGGTGTTCATGAATGTGAGACTGAGATGAACTATTTTTTTCTGCATCTAAAGGTTTAGTGGAATAAGGTGAAATTACTCTTTGTCATTGATGTTTCAAATACAGCTCAACCTCAGTTTGGGATGTGAAAAATCTCAGAGGCCAGGTGGGCTTCGTTTCTGTACTCCTATCTGGGAAGACGGCCCCACTCTGCCTTCCAGCTTCTCAGGTCCCAGCACTGCCCAATTGAGGATGTGTGTGTGTGTGTGTGTGTGTGTGTGTGTGTGTGTGTGTGTAGGGGAGGGGGGGATAGGTTTTACATCCTGGGTCTTACATGGCCCTGGGGTGCTGACTGCCCCCAGGCGTTTAGCATCCAGTTGTTTGGTATGGTCCCTCAGCATCAAGTCCTTATCTCAGCCCCACCTGAGCACCACTGAGTATGGCCTTAAAACAGAAAGCCACTTCTAGTTTCAGACTCAGAGCACGTAATCAAATCTGGGTATTGCGATCAAAAACTTGCCCTAAGAAAGCTCACAGCAGGCAAAGGAACAGCAGAGCTCAGCAAAGCAAAAGAACTGAATAGAATCCTTTGCTGCTGCCCAAAGGCAAGCTTCCTGGTCCTGGCATTGAGAGCTCAGCGGTATCCTCTACTGCCCTCAAGTGTTTTGTATGAAGAGGTTGCTGAGAACCTCCTCAGTTTCCCTCAGTTTCACTTCAGGATGAACATACCCTTTGAAAACCCGCTTAAATGAGAGGAAAAACAAGTTTATTAGGAAATACATAAACAGAAGCCTAAAAATACCCCTAGGGGTACCACAAAGGTTCCAGATAAACACTCCCATTCCTTCCCATTCCAGTCGTCACATGATGTTCTCGAGGGTGGCACTGAAGAGTTTCGGTGAAATGGTACCACCCTGCCGAACCCCTCTCTTGACATCAATGATTACTTCTTTGTAGAATGGTGAGATCCTGGTAGTGAATCCGCAATACAGCTCACGGGGGATCCTGATGTATTGGGCTTGAATGCCCTGATTGGCTAGGGCTTCAATGACCGCTTCCGTCTCAACAGAATCAAAGGCCTTCTTTAAATCACTGAACGTTAGACAGAGTGGCATCTTGAACTCCTGAGAAACCTCAGTGAGCTTGGTTATCATGTGGATATGGTCGATGGTGCTGAATCCTTTGTGGAACCCAGCTTGCTCGCATGGTTGTCCTTCATCTAGTGTTCTGCCAATCCTATTCAGGATGACTCGAGTGAACAGCTTGTAGATGACAGACAATAGGCAGATCGGGCAATAGTTGCCAATGTTGTGGATGTCTCCCTTCTTGTACAGTAGTACAGTCCTGCTGGTTTTCCATTGGGACGGAACCTTGCATTCAGACAGGTAGCGTGTGAAGAGCCAAGCCAGCGTATTGATGAGTACTGACGGCAGGTTCTTCAGGTGTTCAGGTCTAACCTGGTCTGGGCTGGGTGTTGTTCGTTTCTTTACCGACAAAATGGCATATTGAATTTCGGAAGGGAGAACGTTGGGAACGACATATCCATCCTGCGGAATTTGGTATGTGGGCAGGTGGACTTGACTATTGAAGAGATCTGAGTAGAAGTCATGAATAATCTTCTCCATTGCCCTTCTGGAAGATGTGATAGATCCATCAGGATGTCGGAGGGCAGTCATCTTGGTCTTGTAGTTGGTGAAGGACAGGCAGGCGTTATGAATGCTTTTCCTGGTTTCTGCCGCATCTACCAGCACTTCTGCTCTTCTCTCTTTGAGGTCTTCCTTGATCGCATCTCTGCACTGCTTTGCGAGCTCAGATGTTCGCTTGCCATTGCCTGAGGCATGGACCAAACCATGTTGGTGAATAAGCTCAATAGTTTTCAAAGACAGGCGTTTTTTTGTGGCTATCTCACTCTTGGCATTCCTCACACAATCATGGAAGTGCTGAACCAGTCAATTGTATTCCTCGTCAATGTTGTCAACAACGGCATC